TAGAAAAAAAGAGGAAAAAAAAATAAATGAAGGAGAAGGGGGGGGGGGGGGGGGGGGGGGGGGGGGGGGAAGGAAAATGATCTGTATAACAGCTGCCGGAGTGAGTGAGGGTGGGCTTTCAGTTCAAAGGTGAAATGAAAGCGGTCAGTTCAGAGCGTCATTTTGAGTCAGAATCAGAACCTCACAGAACAATCAGAACCTCACAGAACAAACAGAACCTCACAGAACAATCAGAACCTCACAGAACAAAGAACCTCACAGAACAAACAGAACCTCACAGAACAATAAGAACCTCACAGAACAATCAGAACCTCACAGAACAAACAGAACCTCACAGAACAAACAGAACCTCACAGAACAATCAGAACCTCACAGAACAATCAGAACCTCACAGAACAATCAGAACCATTCTTATTCTGGCTTTAACTTGAACTTCGGAGTCAGAATCTGGAGCAGCTTCCTTTTCAGCTCACATGGACGTAATGATTTGCAGAGTCTGTCTCTAACATCAGGAACTTTAACCGGATAAGAGGCGGTGTGTCTCTGCTGCTGCTGCGCTCATCGTCCTCTTTTAAACCAGACTGCGCGCAGCGGCGAAGATTAGCGAACAATCCTTGACTTTAGCAGCTTTCAGGTGAATCTGACGCAGAGTTGTGCGGGCTGAAAGTGTGAGCGGCTGCCCGCCTGTTTGGAGCCCTAACCCTCACCTCAACAGCAGCATGAACCTCTCCTCTGATGCCAGACTGGCGTCGATAGTGACGGACAAAAAGCGGGGGTCCACCCGGCGAAGCACCGCCAACAGGTCCATGTCCAGGTCCAGGACCAGGTCCTGGTCCAGCAGGCTTCCATGGAAGAGCCGGTCCCCTCCGCTCCGATAGGAGAAGAAAGTTAGAAGGAGCAACAGAGCGGAGTGCATGTCTCCAGCTGAGAGACACTTCCTGCTGTTCAGGTCGGAGACCCGACTCTGCTGGCACCACCCAGCGGGGAGTCAGCCGTCTGCCCCAGGCAAGAACAGGAGATGAGGGACAGACTCCTCTACGGAGGGACGGAGGGACAGACTCCTCTACGGAGGGACAGACTCCTCTACGGAGGGACAGACTCCTCTACGGAGGGACGGAGGGACAGACTCCTCTACGGAGGGACAGACTCCTCTACGGAGGGACACTCACCTCCGGGTGTCTGTATGGGACATTAAAATGAACTGAAGCTTTTGCTTCTCTGCCCTGACAAGATCCACAGGTTCAAGGCTGGCTGCCTCACAACTCCTACAGACTCTCGACCTGTTTTAGGTCTGGACTTTAACTAATCCAGTTGTAACAACAGCAGATGTAATCCATTTTATTGTAACTCTGGCTGTTTGTTTTTGGGGTTGCTGTCTTGCTGAAAAATGAAGAGTTTTCCAGCCTCCAACAGGGTTTATGTATGACATGTCTAGATAGACAAACAGATGAATAATAACAAAGATCAAAATAGTCAAAGTGCACTCCCCCCCTCCCCCCCAAAAAAAGAAATAACTTTTTGTGTAAAAAAGGCCATTATTTTAGGAAGGTGATCATACTGCACAATGCCAGTACAGTGGTAATTGCATACGTGAGAGATAACAGAAGTAATAAGTGTTTCAAATATTTCAACAGTGTATTGATGACTCATTAACAGGTGGGCATTCCCTCATAGCCTGCACACCTTCAGTAAAATGTAGTTAATAAACAGCTGCATGATTTTAATGAAGAATCAGTTTTACTACAGCCTCAGGTACAGCTACACCCGTCTGTATTGTCACCTGACTTTGAGTCAAAGATCAGCAGAGCAGGAGCAGCAACATTCAGCAGCCATGCATGTCACCTGACCCACTGAACCGGAAGCATCCTGAGGGAAAGCAGACATTCTGGAAATGATACAGAGATAGTAGAAAACCTGGACTGAAGCTCGATGGCTGCTTCGCTTGAGTCTCAAGTCAGGTGAAGTTTATTTTTACAACAGCAACAAGGCAGTTCAAAATGCTTTAAACCATAAAAACATCAGACACCTCCTCTTTCTCAGAAGTTATTCTGAAAAACTGGAATAACTTCCAAAATGATCAACCCTCTGATCAACAGAGCATATTCATTTTATCACTTTGTCCTTTTAACAATTTGGATGGAGAAACTTGTCAATAAATAATCAATTCCAAAGTATATTACAATTTGTTCTAGTCTATAATGTCCTACTGTCCCAAGCCGTGAGAAGGAAATAATGTCAGAAATTGGAAATGTGGAAACGGAGGAAAGTTGCTTCAGCCGCTGTTGGAGCTTCCATCTGCGCTGCAGCTCCCCCTGCTGGGCGGACAAAGGAAGCTTCTGTGTTTTTCCACTGATTTGATAAATAAACACACCAGGAAGTGAAAAGAAAACGAGTGAAAAGAATGCAGTGTTACTGGTACCGATCTGTCAGATGCGGAAACCTCTTCCATACGTCTTAAGACTTGTATCCAGTCTTGCTAATTGAGCTTAACCTTTAAATTGTGTACTTGTGAACAACCCATTTTGTACATATGTACTTATTTTATTTATTTTTTTTACAAACTGTCAAAGGTACTGGTTCATTCATTGAATTCAGGTGTTCTGGTCCCTTCCATGGCCAGAGGTGTAAACTCCATCAGACTGCCTCTACATGTACTGAGTCACTTTCAGGATCTCTGTGCCTTCCAGTGTGGTACCATGACAGAGTGCTATCTGTGCAATAAATCCAGTCATGGAATTTTTTCACTGCTAAATATTTTGTATTGAACTGATCAATATCATAATGAAGCGGATGTGATTGAGAATGGCATCTACACACCAATGAAGTGGTGGGTAAGAGTCAATGGATGCTGAGACTCAGCTTCTGATTAGCTAAAGAACGGCAAACAGAGAACTTCTTGGAATGGATTACTATATCCTAGCAACTGAATTCAAGTCTTATCTTCAACAAATGCAATTCAGCGCTAAAAACATTTGGCACTACAAGACTCAGAGTAGTAGAGAACACATCTCTACCGCTCTACAGAACAGTGGAGTGATAAATCAGGGTTCTCTGTCCAAGAATCTCTTGAATGAATCTGGATTTGGAATTTCCCAGGAGAATTTGAATGAGTGTTTTGTTCAAAGTGTAAAGTTTGGAGCAGAGGTGGTGTACAATCGTCTTTTGGATTTGGTCCTTTACTTCCAGTCAAGAAAGGGCCAAACCCAGTACAGCATCCCAGTACATTTTGAACAACTACCAGCTCGTGATTTTGTGGGAACAGTTCACACATTGCTAAATGATCCAGTCTGGATGTTTGTGTATGGAATGTAGGAACATTTGAAAGTCAGCACATCAGCAAACTGACTGTGATGAAATTATGTTACTTAATAAAGTTTTTTTTCTTAAATCATAACAATGAGTCGGGTGTTCTTGTATTTTTATAATCTACTTGATTTTCAGCCCAGGTTAAGACCATCCATCCACAGTATCATTTATTCTCACTCCTTGTTGTGTCACTCTTATGCCAGCTCTGTCCAAACTTGTTTTTGGGACTTGTGTTCCTTGTAGAATGGCACACAATAGAAATCAGTCACACCCTTTTTGCTTTCCCTCAAATCACATGATGACACTTCCACCGAGGCTGCCAGGCCAACTCTGTTTTCAAGATACATTATATCTGCAGTGTAACAAAGCTGACTCAGTGTAAGCAAAATATGTTCTAATGGTCAGAGTAAATGAGCTGTGTTTCTCTGATGAGAGGAGGTGTGGAAGTCAGAGGGGAGGAACTTGTGTAAGAATGCAACTCTTCAGGTTTAAATCCACCAACCTGACTGGTCGGACACATCACCGTGGATGAGAATCTTTCTGAAGGATCACAAAAGTCAGTTTCTTTCCTCAAAGTGTGGAGGTTTTCATTCTGCTTTGCTCTGTCTTCTGACAGCATCAGATTCCCTGGCAACCTGTGTGGACTCTGGAAACCTGGACTACAATGGCAGTCAACCTGAGCAAGAACGGTTCAGCTCTGATGGCCGCCTATAAGAAGGTGGTGGATGCCAAATCAGACACGGACTGGTAAGCTGGTTCTGTCGAAAGCGAAAGCAACAAGACCTTCTTGTTTTCTGCAGTTCTTATCTGTTAATGTTGTGCTTTCAGGGCTCTGTTTACCTATGAAGGCAACAGTAACGACCTTCGACTGGCAGAGACAGGAGGTGAGAGCTCATGATGATCTATGGATCTACATCACTGTGATGTACAATAGGATAAACAAGTATTTGATTCTGCTGGACCAATGAGCTTTCAGAGACTGGATAGATCTGTAAACTATTGTTGCTGCGCCTCAACTGTGAGGGACAGAATCCAGAAATAATCCAAAAAAAATCACATTGGATGAGTTTTTATTTTTCTTCTAACTGGAATGTTAGAATTTTACAATCGATTTATTTATATATCAGTCTTTAGTTTCCTTCTGCTTCACTCACCAGCATTTTTTTAAATTTCTGTCTTCAGCACATTGCCACTTCTCATAAACCTGCCTGTTTAGATTGCTGAGGTCCAACAAGGGAACCCAGACAACACAATCCCACTGAGCACACTTCAGCCTCACTTTTTGGTTGAGCTCTTTCTTTACAAAAAGAGATCAGAGCAGTGTCCACATTGCTACAGACAAAACCCAAGTTCTTTTATCCATTGTCCTCTGCAGGCTCCCATCACTCCTGAACAAAACACCAAGATACTCAAGTTGGGTTTATAGTAAATAGAATGGAGCATTCCTCTTAATCTGGTTGGGATCCATGGTCTCAGACTGAAATGAGTCATTCTTATCCAAGTCTTTTTTAACTACATCTATTGATGTTTGATTATTTGTTTGGACTGATCTTACATTTGAAAGAGCCTGTCTATTGCTTTCCTGAGCAATTCCACTCAAAAAGTTCTCCCTTCTAGTGGAGTCTGGATTTTCTCCCCATTACTCGGATTGTCTCCGGTTGATTTATGACTGAGCCAATCAGCAAATAGAAGGATAAGTTGTGAACGATGACGTCCAAAAGGCTATCTTATAAATGCATCAGAAATCTAATGTTGCATTAGAGCGGTGGTTCTCAGCCCTGGTGCTCAGGGACTTTGGTGTTTGATTACTGACGTACACCTTACATCTGTAATTTAAATGTCTTATGCTTTATATCAGGTCTGCTGGAGCAGGAAAGCATCTAAACCGTCGGGATAGTAGTCCTGCTTGGTCCAGTGTTGGGACCCACCATATTAGAGAAACATAAGGTCATGTTAAATAACAGACTCCTGTTCTGGTGTGTGTTCAGGTGGAGGGTTGGAGTTGTTGGTGGAGGAGCTGAACAGTGGGAAGGTCATGTATGCCTTCTGTCGAGTCCCAGATCCTAACTCTGGCCTGCCTAAATATGTCCTTATAAACTGGGTGAGTCACACACACACACACACACACACACACACACACACACACACACACAC